AAAAAAAAAAAAAATTGAATACCCATACGACGATAGGGGTAGTAGTTTCCCCCTCCCTTCCACTCCCTCCCCAAAATCTGACACTCTCAATGCGTGTAAAGTGAAGTGAAATGAAAATAAATAATAAAAAAAATAGTCTACAAAAAAAAAATAAAAAAAATTGTTGATTAAAAACGTAGCGAACAAAAACGATAAATCTTTGTGGGGGGAGGGCAAGAGGGGTGGAATGAAGAAGAACAATCGAAGCAACCTGATATTTACCAATTTAACGAGTAAAAAACTATATATATCCAAGGTATTGTAATATAATAGAGTAAAAGGCATAGGGATGATATTGGAGAGGGAGGGTTTGATATTAGGGGTGGCTAGGAAGTGAGGAATAGGGTATGAAAGTATAGTAGTAGTAGTAGAAGCCTTTCGAAACATAGAGTATCCACGAAAATTGCATATTCGTGGATATAGAGTGTATAGAGAGCATAGGTGGAAGGTGGAAGGTGGACAACACGCATACACATACATACATATATATATATATATATACATACAATACAATGATAAACGTGCGTTGGACGTCGATCTCTACTACTCACTCTCAATTTCGATCGAATTGGAGACCTCGTAGCGTGTAAGTGGAAAATTGGCTGATGCAATTTCGACCCCCTACCCCTTCCCCGCCCGCCAACCAACCCCCTCTTTGTACACCATATTCGCAAACTCTATCTCTATCTCTGTTTCGCTTGCTCACTCACTTACTCGCGCACTTACACTTACACATATACACACAGACACTTTATCTCTCTCTTTCTTTCTTTCTCTCTCTCTCTCTCTCTCTCTCTCTCTTTGTTTCTTTTTTTTTTTACTCTGGGAAAACAATATACTATGTTCTGGTGTTACGTGTATCAATCGTCACCGTAGTATCGAAAACTGCTACGTCATAACCAGAAATTCTTCGCCCCCCCCCGCCCCAGACCAACCCCTTTTCTCTTCTCTTCTCTTTTATCATCTCGTTTTGGTGCATAAAAAAGAGAAGAGTATGGTTAACGAAAGTTACGAGTCTCTCGTTGTTCGCACGTTTACCAAATATCCCTTCAACAATCCCCTATATTCTTTTTCCAATTTGTTGTTGTTGTTGTTGTTGTTTGATTTAATATTTTCGTATTTTTTGAATAGTGACTTATACCACTTTCAAAATAAACGATTCAGTTTTTGAATGATAAATTCAATCGGAAAAAAAGTCTCATGATAAAATTCAATCAGATTTTTATATAAAAAAAAATGTTTTGCAAATACCTAAAAAATAATTTCTTTTTTTACACGAAAGAGATAAAATATATATATATTCACGTAGATTTATTTGTAAGGGATGGAGAGAGGAACGGGGGGGGGAAGGGATGGAGATAGGGTTACTTAACCCTTGTTGAAATTCATTCCGGTATCAATAACGACGAAGGGGGAATATCTGTGAGCTTTGGCTGGAAGCTTTTGGAGAATTAGAGGAGTAGTTCTCTTGAGATGTGTGAACGATTAAGAGAGAGAGAGAGAGAGAGAGAGAGAGAGAGAAAGAGATAAAACGGGGTTGGGGTGGGGTGGGGTGGGGTGGGGTGAGGGGTAAGTGAAAGGGTAGATACTCTAAGGTAAGCAAAGTGCAGACTACTCGAAGATGGGTTTTCGAAGGTTGTTCGGAAGAGGGTTCACTTACACTACTACTATCCAAGGAGTTAGATATGATAGGTTATTGATGCGAGCATTACCGGCAACAACCCCTGCATAGCTATTCCCAGATCTTCTTCTTCTTTTTTTTTCTTCTTTATTATTTTTTTTTTCACCCCCTATCTTTTTCTTCTTTTTTTTTTTTCATTTTTATGGAATGGTGATGTTATTGGTAATGGTGGTGGTGGTGGTGGGAGGAAGAGGTTAAGGGGTGGTAGTGATAGTAGGTGGTGGTGGTGGTGGTGGTGGTGGTGGTGGTATTGAATCATCAATACCAATATCAAGTGGAGGGTTGTATTGGTAAAATAGTATAGCAAGTAATAGTTGGTGGTATTGGTGGTGATATTTTGATGATAGTGTATGGTGTGTTAACTTGGAAATGTTCTCTCCTCTTGCTATTGCTTCTGGCATATTTTTTTTCTTTTTTTTTCTTTTTTATCGTAGAAAAAGAAATGGATAGAAATCGAGAGGGTAAGATGCATTATCGTGGTGATGAATGATCAGCAGATGTTTCGAAACATTATGAGAGATGTTCCCTTTTCATCGTTTTATTATTAATAATAATACTATTATTATTACTATTTAATAGTATTTGTTGTTGTTTTTTTTCTTCACTAGTTTAAATTAATTTTTATTTTATCATGTGTTAATATTTTATATTGGTGTTTTGTTTTATTTTATTTTATTTTATTTTATTGTATAGTTTAATTGTTTCCAAATAATTAGATGATTATTAATAGTTTGAAATATGTCGGATTATTTTCTTTTTTTTTTTTTCTTTTCTTTTCTACGTGAATTATTTCAAAAGTAATTATACAATTACAATAATAATAAGAATACCTATAGGGAGAAATAATATAATTACTATTTAATTCAACAATCACAAAATTGTACATATCCAATTGAATTATATTTGAATGATATTTATATGAATTTATATTTATCTAACATATTTGAATTTTAAACTGACGTATTTACTTTTTTGTTTGTAATATGCAAAATTACTTGCAAAAATGAAGAATATTAATTAAAATAATAAATCAGATCAGCTTAAAGAAACATATTTAAATATTAATTAATAGAATGACGACTGTATATTAACATCTGATGTACAATTAAAACATTAATGAAAATCTAGTCACGTTATTCTAAACTTATCAATGGTTCTAATCAAATGTTTAGATATATAACAAGTATTTCTAACTATACACACACACGTACATGTATATATATATATATATATATATATATATATATATAACTTAGGGACATAGAGCACCTTTCTCGAAGGAGGAACAGAACTCTGGAGCTTCAACTAAAATTGAACAATTCCCTGTGGATTTTAGAAGATATCTTCTCTCTCTCTCTCTCTCTCTTTCTCTTTAACTTGAATCTTCTTCTTCTTCCTCTTCTACTATTCTGTGTTATCCAACGTGTATTCGCGAAGGAAAACGGAAAGGCCCATGAGGGAGAAAAAGAAAGAAAAATAAAAGAAGAAGAAGAAGAGAACAAAAAAAAGAAAAAAGGGAAAAAGGACAGACAAGCGACCACCAAAGCTTTTCGCGACGTGTAGAAGGGCCAATGTATTCTACGTAAAGCTCTTACAAGTCCAGTCTCTGGGTTATAACCTATCCTGCTCAAATCCCATAGGGGAAATATCTTTTAGCAATTTGCCTGCTTGCCTTCTCGTTTCTGTTCCTGTTTTCCCCCTCAAAAACCCCCCCCCAGGATCCCCGATCTCTATCCAACACAACACAACCAACCTTCATCCCTTTCCGTAACCTTCCTTTACCTTCCTTTACCTTACTTTACTATTACTTCAACCTTCCAACCTAACTCGTGTGACCTGCATACGTTAAACGTTGGAACGTATGAACTTTGTTGCGTTTTACATACACATACATACACAGTTTATTTTTTATTATTATTGTTACTTATCTATGTGTTATATTATTAGTGTGTGTTTGTGTGAATGTGGATATATATATGCATTATAATTTTTCACTATTTTGATTAACCCTTTTAGAATTGAATACTTTTAATTATAAAGTGTTTTGCATATATGGAATAATTTATTATTAGTACGTTTGTTTCGTTGATTAATTTGATTTTAATCCACATATAATAATAAATAATATTTATAATATAATTAATATATATATATATAATTATTTCATATATATATATATTTATAATTAATGTTTATTTAATGTAATATTTTAATATATTTATTCCCCCTCAAAAAAAAATACACATTATTATCAATGATAAAATAATGAGGATTAAATAAGGAATTGTTTTTTTTTTGTTTCAAATAATAAAAATTTACAATAACCATCCCTTCATATTCTTCATTCCAACACGGCAGAATATCCACAACCATACTCGTGTTAGGCGTGAAAATTCGAGACCGAGAATTTCTTTCCCTTTTTTTGTTTGTTTGTTTTTCTTTAACGTTCGTTCGTTCGTTCGTTGGTTCGTTCGTTGGTTGGTTGGTTGGTTGGTTGGTTCTGGTTGCTGTTGCTCTTGTTGGTGGATGTTTGCCATCAGACGAGAATTAATAACAGACGCGTGTATCGGCAATGTATCCTCGTTTCTAGCTGGTGGACTCCCCGCGGACTTTGATGATGAAGGGCTCGAGAGAGTTGCGCGAAGCAAACCAGAAAGAAGAGGGAGTGATAGGGGATGGAAAAGGGAATGGAAAGGGGAATGAGGGCTGCTGGGGGTAGAAATAGTAGAGGGCTTGGTACTCGCTGGATACGTCGTGGACTGAATTATTGTACGTGCAGTCCTCTAAATCATAAAAACAACAAATTGCATGGTGCCAA